ATCGGTGGCATCGGAAAGACCACCTTCGCTCAGAAGGTGTTCAATGATGGTAAAATCAAAGCCAGCTTCCGCACCACCATCTGGGTGTGCGTGTCCCAAGAGTTCAGCGAGACGGATCTTCTCAGAAATATCATCGAAGGTGCTGGTGGAAAATATAAAAGAGAACAGAGCAGGAGTCAGCTGGAGCCCACGGTGGAGCGTCTCCTGAGAGGGAACAAGTTCTTGCTGGTGTTGGATGATGTTTGGGATGCTCAGATCTGGGACGACTTGCTCCGCAATCCTTTGCAGGGAGGAGCAGCAGGGAGCAGGGTGCTGGTGACCACCAGAAACGCAGGGATCGCGAGGCAAATGAAGGCGGCCCACTTCCACGAGATGAAGCTGCTGCCTCCAGAGGATGGCTGGTCGCTCCTGTGCAAGAAGGCGACGATGAATGCAGAGGAAGAAAGGGATGCCCAAGATCTCAAGGACACAGGCATGAAGATTGTTGAGAAATGCGGAGGGCTTCCCCTGGCCATCAAGACCATCGGAGGGGTCCTCTGCACCAGAGGACTCAACAGAGATGCGTGGGAGGAAGTTCTCCGCAGCGCCGCATGGTCACGGACCAGGCTTCCCGAAGGTGTGCACGGAGCACTGAATCTGAGCTACCAAGACCTGCCGGCCCATCTCAAGCAATGCTTTCTGTACTGTGCCTTGTTCCCCGAAGACTATGTGTTTCGTGGGTCTGCCATTGTCAGATTATGGATAGCCGAGGGGTTTGTCGAAGCACGAGGAGATGTCTCGTTGGAGGAAGCAGGGGAGCAATATCATAGAGAGCTGCTTCATAGGAGCCTCCTACAATCGCTGCAACCTTTCAGTCTGGACTCCGATGAGTATTCCAAGATGCATGACCTGCTGCGATCGCTCGTCCATTTCCTATCGAGAGATGAGAGCTTGTTCATTAGTGACGTGCAAAACGAGTGGAGAAGTGCTGCCGCCACGATGAAGCTGCGTCGGTTGTCGATTGTGGCCACTGAAACCATGGACATCCGGGATATCGTCAGTTGGACCAGGCAAAATGAGTCGGTGAGGACATTGTTATTGGAGGGAATCCGTGGCTCTGTGAAGGATATTGATGATTCCTTGAAGAACCTCGTGAGACTTCGAGTCCTGCACCTTACTTACACAAATATCGATATTCTACCGCACTACATCGGAAATTTGATACACCTGAGATACTTGAATGTGTCTCATAGCCATGTAACGGAGCTTCCAGAAAGCATATGCAATCTTACGAATTTACAATTTTTGCTCCTCAAAGGATGTGATCAGTTGAGACATATCCCCCGGGGGATAGCTAGGCTATTCAATCTAAGGACACTCGATTGTACATATACACAGCTGGAGAGCTTACCATGTGGAATAGGAAGGTTGAAGCACCTCAATAAACTCAGAGGATTCGTCGTGAACACCGGTAATGATGGTATGTGCCCATTGGAAGCATTATACGGCCTCCAGGAACTCAGATACCTCTCCGTTGGCAGGTTGGAGAGGGCGTGGCTGGAAGCTGAACCGAAAAGGGTTACGAGCATATTAAAAGGTAACCATAAACTGAAGAATCTATATTTGCATTGCTCATCCACACTGACATCCGATGGTCACACGGAGGAAGAGATTGAAAGAATGGAGAAGGTGTTGGATGTGGCACTTCATCCACCATCATCTGTTGTTTTGCTCAGTTTATTGAATTTTGGCCTCCGGTACCCCAGCTGGATGGCGTCTGCAAGCATCAGTTCGCTTCTTCCAAACATAAGCCGCTTGGAACTAAATTATTGTGTTCATTGGCCACTGCTTCCACCGCTAGGAAAGCTCCCCAGTTTGGAGTTTCTTGAAATCGTAGGTGCACGTGCAGTGACCACCATCGGACCGGAATTTTTTGGGTGCGAAGTTGCAGCTGCTGGTCATGAACGGGAACGGAATTCAAAGCGCTCTTCTTCTTCTACTTCTCCTCCTTCGTTGTTTCCGAAACTAAGGCAGCTGGAACTCTTGGATATGACTAACATGGAAGTGTGGGATTGGGTAGCGGAAGGTTTTGCTATGCGTCGCCTCGACAAATTGGTCCTCGGAAATTGCCCCAAGTTGAAGTCTCTACCGGAAGGCCTGATCCGACAGGCAACCTGCTTAACCACATTGTTTCTGGCCGATGTGTGTGCTCTCAAGTCCATCAGAGGTTTCCCTTGTGTAAAAGAAATGAGTATAATTGGTGAATCAGATCTGGAGATTGTTGCTGATCTCCCTGCACTGGAGGTCTTGAATCTGGGACTGTTTGGGCGTCGCAACAATCATTTACCAGATTGGTTGGCGCAACAATCATTCACTACGCTCCGGAGACTGGACGTGCGGGGAACCACCCAAATACTCCGCAGATGCCTCCAAAATGGCGCAGACTGGCCCATGATCGAACGCTTTCCAATTTTTTCCATCAGAGATTTCCGAGGCAATTATATAAACTACATCAAACATTCCTGCACCTTCGACACAAACCTAGTCGATGATGATGCTGCTTTTGCTGCTGTTGCTGCTGCTGAAGAAGAAGAAGAAGAAGAAGAAGAAGAAGACGTCAATGAGCTTTGAGGTAACTTACCTTTCATGCTCACGTCTCGACCATCTAACGCCTTCTGGTTTTGGAGTGGCAACTCACAATCATCTTTTGCTGCTTATGGCAGGGAGATCGACATCATTCACGATGTAATTGGCAGTCATGTCTAATATGATCATCGCAAATGGAGCTGACCATTGTCTGTCTGTTTCCTCGACTTCCCTCACCTTCTTATACCTGTAGCTCTTTTTTTATGGTGATTAATTCAATGCTGTGTATGTTGGCAGTGAAATGTCTTGATCAGAGTATTTGTAGCATGTGATTGATTTTGGATTCCTCAACATATTACCACAAAGACAAACGTATAGATCATCTTTTCTTTTCTGCGTAAACATGGAATGTAGGCTCGGAAAAAAGATTGCTAGAAGGAATTAGAATTATACTTTTTGTTTTTGTAGTTTTATAATTATTTATGAGATTTTGAATGATCAAAATACTGCTACCAGATATCAAAATGACTCTTATCAGAAATAGTACTGCACATGAGAGTCTAACATAGTTTTGGATTTAATATATGTAAGGATTTCATATACGAAACTATCTCAAAAAAAATTCAGAAGATGTAAACATTTACGTGAATCATCGATATATGAAGAGAGTGTGACTTGTCATCTCATCTCAAACTATGCCTTTTGTTTTGTGGCTTGTTCAATGACAAACCTCATCCAATTTTGCATAGATGAGGAGTTTGTCAAAGCAAAAGGAAAACTTTTCAGTCATGTCAATCTAAGCTTATGATACAATTCACGACAGTCCTATATATATATATATATATATATATATATATATATATATATATATATATATATTCAACTTTGATTTTTTTCCATACATAGGTTTGTAGGTTACTCCGTCTATTGCCTTGAATTCTGCTCTATTTTCCAGTTATATTGTGTGTGGTATTGTGACCAACATCTGAATTGATAGTACTAAATAGTAAGCTTGTGATTCTCAATAAGACAGAAAGGATGAGGCAGATTAGGCTTAAAAAAAATGCAATTTTCTTCAAATGATTGTGATGAGTCCTGTGTTCCATCACTGTTGTCAAACCCCTTTTGTTTTTTTCTTGGAGCAGAAAGAACACAATGGAAATATGCACCAAATCAAAGTGGAGGCAGTTGAGGCGCTCTAACACATTGGATCCAATCTATAGATAGAGAGTGAAAAGAGATAAGTAGGATATGAAATAACTTTCTTCCTCATTGCTCCCATGACGACAATGCCACATTAGTCTTCTCCTTCTAAGTCAAGAGATCTCTTCAATTGTTACTCTGATCATTCTGTTCATTCACAAGAACCACCAAAATGATCCCCCACTGGCCACATTTGCTGATGGTATCACCAACTCTTCAAGCTTTGTTAGGTACCTCCATTGCTGAATAGAGCCAAGCAGGTGAAACACTCATCCTTTGCAATGAACTCTCAACAAAAAGGAGCGTCACTTTACACTCTGAAGTTGGGGTGTGGACAACAATTTTCTCCAAAAGGCTCTGGAGTGGTTTGGAGTGATGTATGAATCTGAGTTGCAAACTGATCTTTGCCTAGATCATAATGTTTTGTCCTGGCCATCTTTTTTGTTAGTCAAGGTGTTTCTCTCTTATATGACTGCACATTTCATGCATGCTAAGATATTTAGAAAGAATCATATCTTTGATAAAAACAACGAGTTGGGTCAGCACTTTTTCCTAGAGAATACAAGGAAATGGAGTTGAATACATTCATCCAAGTGCGCGAATTTAGAAGACTTAGACAAGAATGACTGTAACTTTGTATCTAAACCTTGTTACAATGAACTTATCAGAGAGATCTTGATGGCATTTGCTTGATAATGATCAATCCATCAGACTGATGAAGTGGTAATGATCTTGTAGCTGACATATTATCTGATAATGATCTTTGTTTGTATCATGGATCAGTATTATAAACCTTCATGTTTATACAATATCTGTTACCTAAAATTCTTACATGATTGTATGTCAGTCACATCATGTGTGGAACCACTTTTTTTTGTAATGGTAAGTGAGAAATTATTTTTCATCAACTACAAGTAAATGTGAAGAAATTATAATATAATTGAGACTAAGATATAGTCGCGTTTGTTCTGTCCCTCCGGATCTCAATCATTCACTAACTTTATCCTACAGCATGTTGTGGAATCGGTCAATTATTGTGAAATGGAAGATGACACTAACTTTGTTTTTTTTTATTTTTTTTGCAATAATGCTGTGAAAGACGACAGAGGCTGCGTCCGATCGCATGATAAGATATGAACAACAGCACAATCAAAGGTGGATTTGAATATAAAACGCACTCCTACTTTAACTTGCACCTCACTCACCCTTGCCTTGGCTGCCACAATACTCGGAGGCAGCCACTCTACTCCCACTCTGTAACCAAAGATGGCCGATTCCTTCGTCTCCGGGCTGGTCGGTACGTTGAAGGACATGGCTAAAGAGAAGGTGGACTTGTTGTTGGGAGTCCCCGGGGAGATCCAAAACCTCCAAAGCACTCTCCGCAACATCCACTCTGTCCTTCTTGACGCCGAGAAGCGGCGGATCGAGGACAAGGCCGTCAACGACTGGCTGATGGAGCCGAAGGATGTCATGTACGACGCCGACGACGTCCTCGACGAGTGGCGGACCGCGGCCGAGAAGTGCGCCCCGGGAGAGTCCCCTTCGAAGCGGTTCAAAGGAAACATATTTTCCATCTTTGCTGGCTTAAGCGACGAGGTCAAGTTCAGACATGAGGTGGGCATCAAAATCAAGGATCTCAACGATCGGCTGGAAGAGATCTCGGCCCGAAGGTCCAAACTGCAACTCCATGTGTCTGCGGCGGAACCAAGGGTGGTTCCTCGAGTTAGTCGCATAACTTCCCCCGTGATGGAGTCTGACATGGTTGGCGAGCAACTGGAGGAGGACGCCAAGGCACTGGTGGACCAGCTGACAAACCAAGATCCGAGTAAGAACGTTGTGGTGCTGGCAATTGTGGGGATCGGCGGCATCGGAAAGACCACCCTCGCTCAGAAGGTGTTCAATGATGGTAAAATCAAAGCCAGCTTCCGCACCACCATCTGGGTGTGCGTGTCCCAAGACTTCAGCGAGACGGATCTTCTCAGAAATATCGT